ACGCTGAGATAAATCAGACTGAAACACAGGAAGGCTGGATCTAGAAAGTGTCTTGTTTCCCAATACTGGGCTTTCCTCCTACACATATGGCACATTTTGATACGTTTTCAATGATACAGAGGCTTGGGGGGTAGCTCCTTGAGACACACTGGAAACCTTCCTCCGCCTATCACAAGGCGGGGGGAATTCCAAGAGGTGACTGGAATTCCTGGGGGTTTCACCAGATGAGTCCATGAGCATCACAAGGGCCAGGCAAGCTGCTTTGGAGGGAGAAGGCATAGGGCAGTTCCTGTGACGACCTCACTCAGGTACGCACAGTCCCAGCCTGGGACACATACACCCCGGACTCCTTCACCCTTGGGAGGCCTCATGGGCTCCTCCCATCCGTTCTTCCCTCCACCGTACCATAACATATGCTCCGCTCTGAGCACTGCTAAAGTATAATTTTCCAAAGGTCGAGGGACTTCCATGCAAATACGAAACAAACATTTCAATGGTTTTGTTCAGTTCTTTGAGTAAAGAGGAAACTGCACAGTGGGAAGTCCTGGTCAGAGGACATTTGAGGAATTAGTTATTTATAGACAATTTAATAAAACAATGTTAGAAGATTGCTGACCTAGGTAAACCCCTGGGTAATGTCCTGTAGGTCAATAAGTCATGACTTACAGAGTAATTTTTTTCTGCCAGGCAAAGATTACTTAGATCTCCGTTGGATAAAAATCGACCAGTTTACATGTAACTTTACTAAATCTGGGAATTTAATCAGTCATTGCTTAGCGAATGATGCATTCGAGTCAAGGGAAGGGAGATTTTCCGGTTCCCCAGCTGACATACTTTATCATGCTCACCCATTCTCGTTAGTGGCTTTATGATTTTCTTTCCTAAAAATACTTAATGTAATAAGAATTTCTTATTTTCTTCATTATCAGGTCAGCCCAAGCCGGAGGTAACTTGGTATAAGAATGGCCGAGCCATTGAGGACTGTGGCATTGTTTCCAGCTACGAATTCTTCCAGAATCAGTATATTCACATGTTACAACTCCATCGGTGAGTCAGCGTGCCTCTGGGGACCATTTGCAAAGGTCCCTGCATTCTGTCATTGTTATTCTGGGTGCTATCAGGTGAGGCCAAAAGATTGGCTCCTGTTTGCCTTTTTTTTTTTTTTTAACATATAATGTATTATTAGCCCCGGGGGTACAGGTCTGTGAATCGCCGGGTTTACACATCACAGCACTCACCACAGCACATACCCTCTCCAGTGTCCATAACCCCACCCCCCTACCCCGACCCCCCTCCCCCCATCAACCCTCAGTTTGTTTTGTGAGATTAAGAGTCACTTATGGTTTGTCTCCCTCCTGATACCATCTTGTTTCATTTATTCTTCTCCTACCCTCCAAACCCCCCACGTTGCATCTCTACTTCCTCATATCGGGAAGATCATATGATAGTTGTCTTTCTCCGATTGACTTATTTCGCTAAGCATAATACCCTCTAGTTCCATCCACATCGTCACAAATGGCAAGATTTCATTTCTTTTGATGGCTGCATGGTATTCCATTGTATATATATATACCACATCTTCTTTATCCATTCATCTGTTGATGGACATCTAGGTTCTTTCCATAGTTCGGCTATTGTGGACATTGCTGCTATAAACATTCGGGTGCACGTGCCCCTTCGGATCACTACATTTTTATCTTTAGGGTAAATACCCACTGTTTGCTTTTTAAATCCTAATGTATGATGCTGTGAGCAGGTGTCAGCCGGGGCACCCAGCTGAGCTCTGTCTGGCAACTGTTCCCACATCTGTAAGTTGCTGCCGTTGATGGAATTACAACTTTATCTAGAATTGTATTCAAGGTGCCCAGCCTTTTTCATTCATTAAATGAGCTTTTCATTTAATTTTGTTCTCTCCGGCAAGTCAAGAAATTCAACAGGGTTTGGGCACTGTCATCCGACCTTTCTTTCGAAACGGTAGGAAGGAGGCGTGGCTGGCGGCAATCCCACAGCACTCTGGTGATGGTGGAGGGCTGGAAAGCAAGCCTTCTGGCTTTATTTTAGGAAGTGGTCTGGTTCAGTACAGTGGTTTCTATTCTTTTTCGTTTCCCCAAGAATTATTTGTTCGGATGAAATCAGGAAGCTCCGCGTGGAAGTAGAGAAGATGAGAACAGCTTTGATTGAAGCTGGGTGGAGAGTCTGTGCTCTAGGGCCCCAGTGCTTCTGAATTGGTCGCGATGTTCCTTAAGGGGACTCTGAGGAGCCCGAGGTCTGCAGAGTGTAGTACAAAAGTGACTGGTAGGCACACTCATGTGCTGATAGCCTTGGATCTGAGAATAACAAAGGTTAAGACGCGGGTGTGAATTCTGGCTCTAGTATTTTCTGGTCAGTGGCTGTAGCCAGCCTTTGAACCTCTCCAAAATGGAATTTCTTTATCTGTAAAATAAAAGGATTGCTGAGTCAAAGCAAAGTTCTTGCTATGTAGTGGTTGTTCAGTAAACGACCACTTTTTTATCTTCTCACCCACACTTTTGTATCAAAGTATGATCAGAGATCATTTTATCGTAGTTGAAGCGCTTGACTCAGCTGGCTTACAGAATATCTAACCTGATATTCAAGACATTCATTTATTCATCTACTATTCAATCCTTTAAAAAAAAAAGTATTTATTTATTTATATATGAGGGGGAGAGAGAGAGTGTGTGTGTGCAGAGAAAGGCGGAGAGAGAAGCAGAGTCTCAAGTGGACTCTGCTCTGAGCTCGGAGCCCATTGCCGAGCTTGATCTTACGACCCTGAGATCGCAACTTGAGTCAAAACCCAGAGTCAGGAGTTGAACCGACTGAGCCACCCAGGTGCCCCCATCTACTACTTAATTCTTTAAACAATATTCATCAAACAACTATTACCTGGCAGGCATGTTACATAACGCTAGGGCTAGAAATGGACAACACAGATGTTGTCTCTGCCTTCCTGAAACCTCAAGTCCAGTATAGAAGACCCAGGGTGAACAAATCACATGCCGTTTTCCCCGTTGCTCCCCAGTATACTGGGATCCAGACCAGTTGCCTCTTGCTGCCCCCCATCCATGGAGCAGACTTTCCTGCCTCTTCAGTCCAATTTTGCCAAGACCTTCCCCTCCCTCCTCTTCATCCTGTTTGACTCAGAATCCATCTCTGTGGTTCACAGTAATTCTAGTTACCACGGCTCTGTCCAGCCTCAGACATTCTCTTCTCTTTTGCACGGGCCCTCCCCTTGGTGCTTATTTATTGCTTCAGATTGACATAGTTCAGTAGACTCTGGGCTTTAGGGCAGGAACCTTCTCTGTTTCACACTAATGCATCGCCCAGGGCTTAGTACAGTGCAACATACATATTTAGTAAGAGGATGGGTGGGTGGATGCTTTAAATATACCATAAATAGACATGATGTTAATTTAGATCAGCGTGGGCAAACTTTTTCTATTAAGGGCCAGATAGTAAATATTTTAGGCTTCGAAGGCCAAATGGTCTCTGTCACAACTACTCAACTCCACCATTGTTGTGTAAAAGCAGCCATAGGCCATATATATATATATATATTTTTTTTTAAAGCATGGTTGTGTTCTAATAAAACTCTATTTACAAAAACAGGGAGGGGACCAGATTTGGTCTGTGGACTATAGTTTGTCAGTCCCTGGTCTAGATATAAGATCCTTGAGTAGCTACATACTGTACTTCTTTGTATGTTTTCCATTCTTGCCTTTGTCCCTCTAAGCACTCAGTCCATATTTCTTGGTTAATTTTAGTCTCACACTAAGCTAAAATATTATAATCATTTTTTTTTAGCAAGAAAAGAGGCCTAATGGGTGAGTATCCTTTTGCTGACAGAATGCCATTTAAGAATTGAGGTTTGTTATTTATGTTATTTGCTGTTTATACGGGACCGGAAATGTAGGCAAAACCAGTTTGTGGGGTAAGGGAGCTAAGGGATGAAGGAATGAGAAGGCCATGACGAAGCCCAGGGGCAGGTGGGCAGGTTAAAATGGGAAGAGAAATTTAGGAAGAGAACTTGAGCTGCAAACGGGGCATGGAGTCCTAATTCTCATCCTGGAAGTGCAACAGGGCATTGGTTTACGGTAACAGCAAAAGACTTGAGAAGACAGAATGTACTCTTTCCAAACTCCTGTTTTGCCATTTTGAAAAGTAGCCCACTTAGTAGAAAAAGCATTCAGTCATGGTGCAAGGAGTATTGGTGGGACAATATGATAATAGATGTGGTTGTACTTTTTCTGCTTAGTAGTCAGTGTGCTGGGTACTAATCATCTTTTGAAAGTTCTGACTTTTTATACCTGTAAAGTTCTGAACCATAGCTGCCCATATGCATCTCCCAGGGAAATTTTAAAACCCGCTAATGCTTGGCCTTCAACCTTGACTAATTCAGTCCGGACCCCAGGTGATTCCAGTGTAATTGCCCAAGGTGAAAAATTCTTGTTTATTTATTTATGTATTTATGTATTTACTTATTTATTTATTTAATCTCTATATCCAATGTGGGGCTTGAACTCACAACCCCAAGATCAAGAGTTGCATGTTCTTCCAACTGAACCAGCCAGGTTCCCCCGAGATGAAAAATTCTTTACATCCTAAAATACCTGCCAAGTCGTTTGACTTCTATGAGTGGTTAGGCAAATGAACGGTATTTTGTGCCAATGCCTTTCAAAGATTAAACGCTGGTTGTTCATTATAATATTATTCTCAAATTTTTTTGCCATCATCAAATCACCATAAACCACAAGATTTAGTCATCATTCCCCTAAAGAAAAGTACTTTTGTTTTTAACCTCCCTGAGTTTAGTCTTTGGGTCATTACATCTCCACTCTCGGATGTTCCAAAGCTCCTGTTCCTGTGTTTCCCAGGGTTTTTTGTTTGTTTGTTTGTTTTCTGGTTTGATAGACCTGGTCTGCATTTCCACTGTGGGGTCACGAGCTTATTAGTTGACCTCCCGATCTTCCCTCTTTCCTCACCTGGCATGGTCCTTCTCCATCCTCCCTGGGTCCTCCTCCACATGCCCCTCTAATCTTGTCACACCACATACTTCGGACAAGTGAGACAGCTCGGGGGAGACTGGTCAGTGCTGTTGGACCTTTGCATACCACAGGTCAAGTGTGCTTGGCAGGCAGAGGAGTGGAAAGCCGGGAGAGCATTCCAAGGGCAAGCGACATCAATAACAGCATGGTTTTCACTGTAGGATGATAATTTTTTTTTTTTTTCAGAAGATATGGAGGTTGGGAGGAGGGGAGGAAAATGCACCTAGAGGTTTTCTACCTCATAGAAAGCAAGTTGCAAAGAGTGCATACACAAACGAGGAATTGTGGTCTCTTCTGAACATGATGTAAAGAAAGGCAGCTGAACAAGAGATAAAAATCTGTCCAGGAACCCACACCTAGAGAGAGACACCCCTCTTCTCAGCAAGGAGGCCTCTTAGCGGTCATGATCGTGTCCCGCGGTGTTGAGCACAATTACAAGAGAAGCAGAAGGGAGGGGGATGGTCAGGAGGGTGGACTGGGCTCCCCGAAAGCCTGGAGCAGAAGGAGGGGTGAGGCTGCTCCACCTGCCCCTCCTCAGCTCAGCCCCGGCCCCTGCAGAGGACCTGGTGGGGACCATGGCCACGAGGCCTACACAGTCACCATGAGCCAGTCTACTTATGATGTGTGCGGGTTGAATGGTGTTCCCCCCAAAATTCATGTTCACCTGGGAAGTCAGGATGTGACCTTATTTGGAAAAAAGATGTTTTCAGCTGTAATTATTTAAATGAAAGTGAGATATGGTGGATTAATGTGAGTGTTAATTCAATAACTGGTGTTTTCATAAAAAGGAAAAAGCAGATGCAGAGGGGACATAGCCATGTGAAGATAAGCAGAGACCACAGGGACTCAGCTACAAGTCAGGAAGTGCTGAGGACTCCCTCCTCACTACCAGAAGCCAGGAAGGGGCAAGGAAAGAATCTTCCCTAGAACCTTCAGAGAGAGAGCCTTGCCCACACCTTGATTTGGGTCTTCTAACCTCCAGAACTGTGAAAGAATACATTTTTGTTGTTTTCTTGCTACCCTCTTTGTAGTACTGTGTTATGGCAGCTCTAGGAAATGAGGACATGGTGTATCTGGACATTCTAGAAAAAACAGTGCTGCCATTTGCCTACCTTGACTTAGGGCTGACCTTATCTGACAATGTAGTACTCGTTCCACCTAGTACCAGCTGGGTCCATCTGGACCTCCTGGGAAGCATCTATGGGTCTGGAGCAAGGAACATTTTTCCAGTTATGCCTCATCTTGGATATTGATTCCTCAAGAACTTGAAGGAAAAATCAGTATGAAGGTTTCCTGGGTCACTTGTGTTTTTTCTCCCAGGGGACATTCGGCCATGTCTGGAGATATTTTTGATTGTTACCGCTGGAAAGGGATGCTCCTGGGATCCAGTGAGGAGAGGCTAAGGGTGTTGCTAGACATTACACATTGCCTGGGGCAAACCCCCACAACAGAACTATCCAGTCTACAATGTCAATGGTGTTGAGGCTGAGAAGCTATGTGATAAGCCACCACAAAACAGAGGGCCTTGAATCAGCACTGGCTTATTATTTCTCATGGTTCAGTGGGCTGGCTATGGTTCTTCTGCCGGCTTGGCCCAGCTCACCCAATGCTCCCTCCGACCACTTGAGTCGGTTGGAGGATTGGTTGGGCTGGAAGGTCCAAGACGGCTTCACCAACAGGTCTGGCCATTGACGCTCGCTGTTGACTGGGCCACCTCAACTCTCCTCCATGTGGGCTCCTGTCCTCCAGTAGGCTAGAACCTCTTGAGCTCCACTGTAACGCCAATCCCACCACATCCCCCAGTCAGAGCAAGACACCGGATCCAATTTCAACATCACGAAAGTAGGGGCCACCCCTTTAAGAATGGAGTGGTGAAGTCACAATGCAGTAGGGCACGGGTAGTGGATGGGAGGAATTCATGGCAAACTGCACAATCTACTACCCTCTCTATCCATCGAGCACCTACCTAATTAATCTTTTTAAATCACCTACTTGCAGGCCTCTTTAACCTGCTTGAAAACAACTTTCTAAGCCTCCCTTTTTGCCTATAGAACAATTGTTTTCATTCTTTTTTTTTTTTAAGATTTTATTTATTTATTTGACAGACCGATCACAAGGAGGCTGAGAGGCAGGCAGAGAGAGAGAGAGAGGAGGAAGCAGGCTCCCCGCTGAGCAGAGAGCCCGATGCGGGGCTCGATCCCAGGACCCTGGGATCACGACCTGAGCCGAAGGCAGAGGCTTAACCCACTGAGCCACCCAGGAGCCCCTTAATACATTTATTGATTCTTCAAACATCAAGGGTAACTTGTCGGTTCTCATCCCAGCCCAAGGTAGGAGGAAGCCTGGTGGTAAGAAAATGTCTCGCCCCTGTCTTCTGTGATCTCACAGTCCAAAGGGGGAAGCAGACACATAAGAGGACAATCAACAGAATGAATTGGGGTTTTGCCTCCTGATCCTGACCAGTTCTGACACCAGCTGCCTATTGTACAATCCTGTTCTGTTCGGACACCAAATACTCAGAGGGAACATCTGACCCCATTGGTGTAAGACCTCACTCCCTAAAGACTGCCCTCCTACCCCCACTTCAGACACCAGATTACCCACATTTCTCTCTGACTGGCTACAAAGTTGGGGGGTTCCCACGATCCCCTCTCCCTCCTTCAGGTTCCACGGTTTGCCTGACCAACTCAGGACTCAGGGAAAACACTTGACTTACAATTACCGTTTTGTTAGAAAGGGTACAATTCAGGAGCAGCCGAATAGAATCACTACGTAGGGCAGGGTGTGGGGTCAGGGTTGCCAGTCTTGGTGACCTCTCCAGCTATGTCACTGTCCCAGAACCTTGATACATTCACTGACCTGGACCCTTTCTGAACCCCATCCTTTAGGGGTTTTTATGGGCCTTCCATTATGTAGATATGACTGATTGCATCATTGGCCCTTGGGATGAACACAGTCACGAGCTCCTCTCCCTCCTTGGAGGTTTGCAGTTGGGGCTGGAGGTTTCAACCCTGTAATCATGCCTTGGTCTTTCTGGGACCAGCCCCCTCCTGAAGCTACTTAGGGGTTCCCAGCCACCAGTCATCTCATTACCATGCAAAAGACATCACTCCAGAGATGTCAAGGGTTTTTGGAGCCATGTTCCAGGAACCTGGACAAAGACTGAATATTCATCTTTATTATACCACACCAAGCATGTGCTAAGATGGAGGGGAAGATGAAAGCATCCTGGGAGACCAGAGTCAAGGCAGTGAAGTCAGCCTCTCCCTGGTAGGGGTAGGTGAGGGCCCAGTACGAATGCACTGGGAAGGTTTCTCCAAGGTTCCCCAGCATGAAGCCCTGAAGGGCCTGGAAAAGTGGATGGGAGGGAGGGGAGGACCATGCGAGCCCTGGGATGAGAAAAGCATGAGCAAAGGCATGAGGGCACTGCCTCCTGGAGTGACCGGGGTATATTCAGTCTCTGGCTGCGGTACTGGTAGGGCCTGGTGGGGGGGCAGCATGTAGGGAAGAACAGCCAGGAGGGTGGGCAGGTGCTGGACTGAACCTATGTGTCCTAGCTAAGGGGTTCGCACCCTTGTCCTGAAAATGATGCTCAGACTAGGAAGGAGTTTGTGGCAGCAGAGGGTCATGGGAACATTTGCATTTTTAAAAATCTCCCTCTGACTGGGACACCTGAGGTCAGTCGGTTAAGCAACTGACCCTTGATTTCACCTCAGGTCATGATCTCAGGGTTGTGAGATCGAGCCTGGCTTCCACTCTTTGTTGGAGGGCAGGGACTGGGATTTCTGTTATCCCTTATCCCTATAGCCTCGTGTGTTTGCAAATGATGACAAAATTCTCCAGGTCCTTCCCCAAAGTCCACACTTTTGCTGTTGCTGTACTCTGCTGCTTATTAGCGGTGTGGCCTGGAGCAAGTCAATTAACTTCTCTGTGCTTTGGTGTATTCATAAAATGATTTTTTGAGATTATCCATGCAAAATGGTCAGCAAAGCGTGTATTACGCATGCAACAAATATTAGTTATTAACTATTAGTTAATTAGCTATTAATTATTAGTTAGTAACTAGTATCATTTTACTGTTCACTCCCTAAAAGCAATGTGGTTCCAGAGTTACTCTGTATCACTCTGCCCTAGCTTATAGTGGCTGTATTTAGAGACAGGATACTTTGATGTGAATAGTTTTGAAAAGTGTTAGAATCAGTGGAGCATTTTCTTTCTTTTTATTTTTTTATTTTTAAAGATTTTATTTATTTGTTTGACAGACAGAGATCACAAGTAGGCAGAGAGGCAGGCAGAGAGAGAGAGAGAGAAGGAAGCAGGCTTCCTGCTGAGCAGAGAGCCCGATGTGGGGCTTGATCCCAGGACCCTGAGATCATGACCTGAGCTGAAGGCAGAGACTTTAACCCACTGAGCCACCCAGGCGCCCCCAGTGGAGCATTTTCAAAGACCGGAAACAACTGGACATTTAACAGGGGAGCTGGTACCCAGATCCTGGTTGAAGCTGCTTTTCTCATCCATGTTCGTGCTTAAAACCCTGTTTGGATGGTTTTTAGATGGTGCATTCTGTGATTTTAGTGATACCTTGGACTTTCTAGTTCTTCCGTACACCTAGGTAGACAGATGGATGCCAGGAGCTTTGGGATACTGTTATATTCTCAAAGCCATTCCAGTTTGTAACAAAAAGCTGTTTACAAGTTTTTGTTGTCTGAGTTAAAGACTTTGGTTTCTGGAGGGCTCTTGCTGGACATGATCACCCAGGGAAACTCAAAGTCCTTCCAAATATTGAAGAAACTTGAGTTGTTGGTCGAGAGTGAGTCTGGGCAAGTGAGTATTGGGGAATTGGTTTAAAACCTCTCTATTCTGGCAAGAAAACCTTCAGGCACACATCCTGCTAACAGTAGAATTGTCACCATCAACTTTACTTACAAAGGACAGGAGGTTATTTCCACCGTGTAAAGCAAGGATCTGAAGCTGGTTTGTCTGGATTGACTGATGGATTATTTTTTTTAAAAGATTTTATTTATTTATCCGAGAGAGAGAGAAAGAGACAGTGACTGGGGGGAGAGGGAGAAGCAGGCTTCCTGCTGAGCAGGGAGCCTGACTCAGGGCTTGATCCCAGGACCCTGGGATCATGACATGAACTGAAAGCAGACAC